CACACTCTCAGCCACCACAGCCTCGACCTGCTGGGCTTAGGCGATCCTTTTGCCTCAGTCTTCCAAGTAGCCGGAACTACAGGCGCACACCACCACACTCAGCTAATTTTTTGATTTATTGTTGCCCAGACTGGTCTTGAACCCCAGGGCTCAGGCAATCCTCTTGCCCTGGCCTCCCAAAGTGCAGGGATTACAGGTTGAGCCACCACACCCAGCCAACAATAAATCTTTTAGAGAAAAACATGGTAAAATATTCAGATTACGATATCCATCTGAAAAAGGACTTGTATCTAGAATACCCAAAGAACACTTACAAATCAGTTAAAAAAAAAGTCAGACAACCCAATACAAAAATGGGCAAAATACATGAACAGGCAGTCCACAAAAGTCACCCAAATAGACAATAAGTCTTTGAAAAGTGTTCAACTTCATTAAAAAAAAAAAAAATAACCATAATGTGTACCAATACACACCACCAAATTGCTAAAATAAAATACCAAGTATTAGAAATAACATATAAAAACTAGAACTCTTCTTAAACTGTTGAGTAAAGTATAAATTGTTTACAACCATTTTGGAAAATGAGGTAATTTGAATAAGTTTGGATATATGCAACAATCTGATCCAGCAACCTCATTCCTAAATATATATCCAGCTGAGCATTTTAATACATTCACCAAAAAATATTTACAAAAATAGCCACAACCGTTCTATTCATAAAAATGTTAAACTGGAAACAATCTAAATGTATATCATCTATAAAATGGATTAACTGTGATGTAACACAATGAAAATATACACAACTTTGAGGATTATTGAACTACTTTACATAAATCTTGAGTGACTCTCACAAATAATATACTGCATGAATCCATTTATATTGTTAAAAACTAAGCTAAAATTAATCTATAGTGCTAGAAGTCATAATGATTGCCCTTAGGGCTGACAATTACTGGGAGGTATGAAGGTGCTCTAGTGTACTGGTAATGTTCTAGTCTTTATCTGGGTGATTATGTGGATGTGTTTAAGAACTTACAGTTTGTGCACTTTTCTCTTAATATGGCTCCATAAAAAGTTTACATTAACCAATAAAACAATAACATCCCTACATAACAGCAATAATCAGTTAAAACTAATTACGGAATAAAGAGCTCCCTAAAAACAGCAACAAACAAAAAACTACCCAGTTAGCAAGAAATTTATGAGGAATAGGGGATAACTATAAAACCTTGATACATATAACCTTTACTCTTTGCTTCCTTCACTATCAATTGACTTATTAATGTACTGCTAATCAGTATTCCGATAGAATTTTAATTGGAAATAATACAAATGATTCTAATCAGGAAGATAAAAAGGGTGAAGACTTGGGGAAAAAAAAACCAATGAGCACAAAACTATAATGATTTAAGAAGTAGCACAAAATAGTCTATACATCATGGTATAGAGTGTATATGTATGTGTATACATTTAATACAGGCCCAAAATACTTGATTATGTACCCTTAGAGTGGGGTTCATTATTCAGAATATATTGGATTTCTAAAAACTAAACATATGCACCATATGTCCCCAGTTATAAAATAGCACACTCATAAAACACATTACTTTTACAGTAAAATATGAATATTCACACCAAATGAGGTAAGTAGCCCCGTGTCATTTCATGAGGTTTTACCATGAAATAAGTTCTGATGTTTACCTTAGGGGGAAAAATTGGTTGTCAGAACGTTTTTGATTCTGGGATTGCGAATAAGAGATTGTGAATCTCTATCAGGTAAGAGGCATAAATAAATGAGTGTGGGTCAGGCGGAGGCAGGTGGGTGTGGTGGTTTATACCTGTAATTCCAGCAACTTTTTTTATTTCTTTTGAGTTGGAGTCTCACTCCGTTGCCCAGACTGGAGTGCAGTGGCCGCTCCCGGCCACCGCAGCCTCCACCCGCTGGGCCCCGGCGATCCTTCCGCCTCAGCCTTCCGAGTAGCCGGAATTACAGGCGTGCGCTACCACGCCTGGCTGATTTTTTGATTTATTGTAGAGATGAGGTCTAGCTGCCCAGGCAGGTCTCAAACCCGCGAGCTCAAGCAATCCACTCACCTCAGCCTCCCAAAGGCGTGGGATTACAGGCTGAGCCACTGAGCCCAGCTTTTTTTTTTTTATTTTTTGAGTTGCGAGTCTCACTCCATCGCCCAGGCTGGAGTGCAGTGGGATGCTCATGGCCAACCCAGTGTCGACCTGCCGGGCTCAGGCGATCTTTCTGCCTCAGCCTTCCAAGTAGCCAGAACTACAGGCTTATGCTACTACACCTGGCTTGGGCCACCGCACCTGGCAATCCCAGCAATTTTGGGGAGGCTGAGATGGGAGAATCGCTTGAGGCCAGAGGTTTGAGACTAGTCTGGGCAACATACCAAGATCCCATTTCTACAAAAAAAAAAAAAAAAAAATTAGCCAGGCATGGTGGCATGTGCCTGTGCTTTCAGTTATTTAGGAGGCTGAGGTGGGAGGACCTGAGTCCAGGAATCCAAAGTTACAGTAAGTTATGATCATGTTACTGCATTCCAGGAAACAGGGCGAGACTTTGTCTCTAAAACAACAAAAGGCTGGGCACAGCGGCTCATGCCTATAATCCCAGCACTTTGGGAGGCTGGGGTAAGAGGATTACCTGAGCCCATGGGTTTAAGACCAGCCAGGGCAACTTGGTGAGACCTCATCTCTACAATAAATAAAAAAATTAGCCAGACATGGTGGCATGTGCCTGTAGTTCCAGCTACTTGGAAGGCTGAGGTGGAAGGATCACTGAAGCCCAGCACATCGGGGTTGGGGTGGCTGTGAGCGTGTACTGCACTCCAGCTTGGGCAACAGAGAATGTGACTGAAAGAAAAAAAAAGTGAGGGGAAAGGCTTATTTTAACAAATTGTGCTAAGTGGTTAAATATTTAGGGAAAAAGTGTATTTTAATCCTTTCTTCATACCAGGTACAAAACAGATTATATATAGATTAGGAGCTAATGCCTAATCTTAATAAATCAAGAAGTAAAAGCCTAGAAACAAGTGAGGATATAGCTCAATATACCTCTGGCAAGGAATAAATATAAGCCATGCATGAAATGACAATTTGCTGGTAGCAGTGTAAACTGATGTATGATTTCTAGCAGAATTTGGCAAAATATATTGAGAAATGTACACTAACTTTTTGGCGTGGTAATTCTACACTCTAGAATGTCTCTAGTCAGGCACAGTGGCTCACGCCTGTAATCCCAGTACTTTTGGAGGTGGAGATGAGAGGATTGCCTGAGTCCAGGGGTTCGAGACCAGCCTGGGCAACTTGGTGAGACCTCATGTCTACAGAAAAAACTAGCCAGGAGTGGTGGCACCTGTCTGTAGTTCCAAGGAGTCAGAACTGGAAGGCTGAGGCACAAGGACCTCCTGAGTCAGCAGGTCAAGGCTGGGGTGACGGTGAGTGTGCCACTGCACTTCCGCCTGGGCAAGAGTGGAACTCTGACTCAAAAAAAAAAAAAAAGTCTCCTAAGGCAGTTGGTAATGCAAACAAATATTTACACAATTGCTTACTGCTGTAACAGCTAAAAACAGAAAAATGCTTATTATTTGTAGTGAAAAATGCATTAGGAAGTCATAAGTCCAACAACGTAGAAAACTTACAGAAAAACATGGCAGTACAACAAAATAGTAACAAGCATTTATAAAAAGAAAAAAAGTCCATTAGAAGAGGAAGCGTAATAGACAATAATAAAGCCAAAACTTTTTAATTTCAAGCAATTAGGCCTGAGTCTAGAAGATGGTGGCTTGAGAAGTGAGGAATGCAGCATATGTAGTAATACGCTTCTGTTTTATTTTTATATTTGAGAAAACAGGGTCTTGCCATCTTGTGCAGGCTGGTCTCCAACTCCTGAGCTCAAGTGATTCTCCCACCTCTGCTTCCAGAGTCGCTAGGATTAGAGGCATATGCCTTCATGCCCTGTAGGCTTTTGAAATGCCTTATCAAAGCACCGATCTTATTCTAATTGTCATGACATCTGGCCTTTGTATGAATGCTGATGGATGCTTTTCTCCCGAGCAATTTCAATATCCGATATTTTAACAATATCCAGGGCTAAAACAGTAAGATTTCTTAATTCCAAGACTTCGCAGATTTGGCGTGCACTGACTACATTAACCACTAAGTAGTGTTCAAATTATAGACAGAATCCTTACATGTAGTTATAAAAATAGGCATGCATTGTTGTTTGTAGTATATTTTAACCCTGAAACATAGTTACTAGGCACTTGAATATTAGAATAGGTTGCCAGATACAACAGTTCAATTGAGTCAAGGACATATATGTGGACTTGTTTTTTTACATAAATTAAGTCATTTACTATAGGCTAGTGATGTCTCAAATGGTGGAGCTTCTACTGGTCTTTCAATTCCTTCAGTCTTCTGATGGCAGACTTCACCATGACAGCAGAAGCGGTATTGCAAGTCCAGGCTCCACCAGCTACTGTTTTCATGCAGGAACCACAGTGCCACAGCGCGTCTCTTCATCTTGGTTTTGCCACAGAAGGAGCAAGTGTACTTGGCGTGCTGGCTAATCTCGATCTTCTTCACCATCTTCCGGAGCGAGGCCTCATAGCGGGTCCCGTATTTACCGACGAGTCCCACCTTCTTGGTGCGTTTGGCCATCACGCTACCAAGCAGGTCTGAGCTCAGAGAGGTACATGGACTTTTAAGATAAAATGGGAATGTGGTTTTGCTTTTGAACATAAACAAGCATAAATTTATCTAACAGCTCCTTTATCTACAGCTTCTGGCTATTTACCTACAAAGGAAACTTATTTTACTTGTGTATGAACTCAGTACTTACATGTAAGTATGAATTGAATGAGAAGAAAATCTGTAATTTTCAGAATTATAGTAGCTCCCAAAAAAGAGTAAGGAAAAATTGAATTGCAAAAAAATTTAATCAAAGTTTCTAAACAATATTGCCAATATAAAATAATTCAAACTTTTGAAGTTAAAGAAAGCATTTATTCAAACCTAACTGTAGTACAGTATCAAGCTGAGTTAAATAAACATTAACTATACGATATTTAGTTCCTTAGGAATAGACCATTGCCACATCATAAAAATTTCTTACATGACAAATTTCTGCAGTAAGGTTCAACAATTAAGACATGATTTTTGCATTGAGAAATGATAAGTGTTAGAGTAGGATGAATTTATTTTTTATAAAGGCCCAGTACAAACAAACAAACAAAAATGGTTGAGAAAAATGACTCTAACAAAGTATACACCTGCAGGAAAAAAACCTCTAATATACTGATATTTAAACAGAAAGCACATAAGAGAACATACTTTAATATCTAGGCACAATTGGTCAGGTACTAATTATAATTTCTGTTCTCATTTAAAAGTTTAAACCAATTCTTCAACTTGACTGATGTGTGTGTTTAATACAGAGAAGGCACCTCTCTCACTCCCCTTAAGGACCTTTTGAGAGTAACTCTTTAAAACACTTAAGGGACACACAGACAATGCACTATATCTAAGTGTAGATATAGTTATTTAACACACCCCATTTTAGGAGAAACTGAATTAAAATATAAAACTATGATTTATCTTTTTACATCTTATGATGGATATGACACCAGAAGATAATCCTCCACACAAACTTTAACACAGAACACACGATTTAAATTAAATGTGCATTGGTCACTACAATGTAAAGAGTTCTATGAATTAGTGCAATTCTTTAAATCCCCAGTATTTAGGGGAAAAGTATATACATACCAAGAAATCTCAACTACTACAAACCAATCTTTTTATGGCTCAATAGTCTAACCACTTAAAGTTCTGTAAAAAAATCTTACAAGTTATACATGAAAAATCAGAACACTCAATAAATGGTTTACAAAATTTTCTCTTTAAAACAAAGAGAACAGAACAACCAGAAGAAATAGATAAAGTGTAAAATTACAGAAATACAATCTTTACTGTGGTTAAGAAGGGGTGGCAAAGTATTCACTCCAGAAAACAAATCCATCAAACTGATGATTCCTGATTAGATACTTTACTGCCAGTTCAGGTGGTTAATCATTTTGTAGTATTTAGTGGCTCTGTATTTAAATATCGTGTTGAACAATTACTGAAGGCAATTGATAAGAATAAGCATCATTTTTCTCCAAAAAAAGTGAGTAACTATTTCAGATGAATAAGCTTTACAATTTGGGATAAGAAGTAAAAAAACACAGTGTAAGAACATTAGGTTGATTTAACCCCTATTTCAACAATATTTACACAATACTTACAATATGCAATTGTCAAAGCTATACAGTTTTGCAGATTGGCTTTACTTACATTTCTGCAAATGTTTTTTCCAAAATAAAAATATACCAAGTGAGTCTATTTACAAACTAGGAAGCTGCTTCAGAAACAGCATGATTTAGATACATAAAGTGAAACTTCAGGACAAAGTGCAGGTCATGCTTTCAGATTCTGTCACTATCCCATTCCCTACACTCAGTTTAAGGGATATGAGTTTTAAACAGCTACAGGTCTTAAGTGTTCAGAATGTTTACTCATCATAATGCAACGATAACAAAAATTTGTCCACATCCATTCCAGCTGGAAATGAACTGGGCAGCTTCTTTTTCTGTCAAAAAAAAAAAAAAAAAAGAAAGAAAGAAAGAAAAAATAAACTCAAACAAGGTCAAAAAAACAAAGCTTTCTAAGTCCCTAGAATAGCAAAGTATATTGAACTTTTCCATATACTACTAAAATTACCCAAATTTTTTAGTCTATTAAAATTTTAGTTCTACAGAAAAGTAGAGACAAGCTTTATAAACCTTAGGTTAATTAAATATACTTCAGTGGTACGTCAATGTTAGTTTAGGGCAAAAGACATTATACAAATCCAGAGTTTATGAATGTTGAAAGAGACTAGAACATGCTGTCTATGTTAGGTAGTCATTATTGCTTAGAAAGCTTTACTAACAGAGACACTGAGAGTTACACTTATCCAGTTCTAATCACTTAGTATACACCAGGTACTTTATACATTTAGTCCTCACAACCTAAGATGCATAGTAATATATCAAGTGATGAGGCCAAGACTCAGAGACTAGAGACTAGCCATGGTCACAGGACCGATAAGCAGCAGATGCAAGATTCAAACCCACACTCACAGGGCAGCAAAGTCAAGATTCTTTCCATATACCATATTTCCTCCATGACACTTCAAACATTTTGTACTCAATCCACTTACTAAATAGCTAAACACATTTAAATGGCTTTCATTCATCAATACTATCTCTGTGTATAGACAAGTGTGCTTAAAGAAAAAACAGGTAAATTAAACTTTTCTACTTCCCCAACCTTTTTAAGGGCCTAAGTTAGAGAAGACAAGATACGTAAGAAAAGAATGCAAGATCTAAAAAGAGCAAATGATTTTTTACTTGGTAATTTCACACAATAGTTCTTTTCTAATCTTTCATGCCTGCATCAGGTGTCATTCTCATGAAAAAACTTGGGCCCTACCAAGACAGAATAAAAAAACCCTGCTTTTCCCAAGAAGATGTTAGCAGTTGTCTTCAAAATGCTATGTTTCATCTAGACAACTGAGTACCCACACTGACTGAGGAGCACTGGTAGAAAATATGTTTTGTCAATCAAAACGCAAAGCTATCCTGACCATAAAGTTCAGTCAGACAGCTGTAGCAAAAAACACTGAATTCTCTACGTACTGGAGGAAGAAAAAGGAGTGGTTTGGAGATTAAAACCCTCCAACTTGCCTTAATTTTCTTCTTTTTCACTGGAATGGATGAATTCGCGAGATTTTTACTGGAAGTACGGGAGTTTCGCTCACGCTCATCTGATTCCTCCATCTTCCGCTTTTTTGTGGTGCTCCTTGAAGACACTCTAAACTGCTGTGTGTTATCTTTTAGAGGAGTTGCTGAAGTAGTCCTAGAGATGGCTGCCCTGGAGAGAATCATTAATGTATGGGCAGCCATGTTGACACTGTTTTCACTGCCTGTTTCACTGGCAGGGCTGCAGGCAGGCAAGTCTGCGGTGACATGAGGGAGCATGACTTTGGAAGTGCCACTGTCCTCTCCGAAACGCCTACTCGAGGGGGCTTTGATGCCATCTGTAGGCTCTTCTTTATGTTTCTCCCCTGTCCCTGAGCCAGGTGCCCGGGGGACGGGCACATCGTTAGTATCTGAAAGCCTGTTTCCTGGGCTATGCCGCTGAACATCCTGTAACGTGTCTGTGGGAATCAAGGAACTGGCAGGTTTAGTCTGTTCTTGTTTTAGATCTTTCACAGTTGCACCTACTGAAATGGCATTTTTACTGCTGGAAGATGTGCCTTGTTTCTTGGTCAGTTCTTGCAGCGAAGTCATAGCTTTTTCATTCCGTAAACCCCCGTTTTGCTGCCCAACAGATAGCTTCGATGTTTCTGGACTTTTCTGCCTTTCCATGTCACTGCATAATTCATTCTCCTTATTAGCTGTTGCTTTATGGAAAGATTCAAGCACAATTTCTGTGGGTGGAACTTTCTTTTCTGACTGAGTTTCTCTCACAGTGGCATGCCGGCTAATGTCTGCTTCTGATTTAGATACAACCTTAGGTACAGGAGGTTTCTCTCTCTCTTTTTTGAGTGCATTATTAGAAGAAGGTTTTAAGGTGGAGGACACAGTGGGTGAGTCAAGACTAGGAGAGGAAACTGCATTCTTTTCTTTACTCTGGGATACCATCTTACGGCTGGGCCCTGGTGGATTAGCCACAGGAGCAGCAGTGCTATCAAAACAGAGCACACGCCTGTGGCTTTCAAATGGTTTGCTGGCAGGAGCAGTACTCTCTACTGGGAAGGGAGCTGTGATTTCTTCTAATTTCTTCCCAAGATCTGTGGCCATATTCTTGTCAGAAACTTCAGTTCTACAGAAAAAAAAATTATTTTCAGCAGCATAAAGAAATCCTTTAGGTCTTAAGTCTAAGCATTTGAATGATCTGATAGAAGATACCTTATGCTTACCTTTGTGTATGACATCCAACTGAATGAATTGATGAATCCACCAAATTATTTACCTGTTTTCCTGGAATTATAAATGAACATTACTGAGTGAAAGAATATATTCCTCTGAAAGAGGATGGAACAGTCGACAATATCCCATACCCTGAGAAAAATTTTTAAATGACAGCTAATGTACAAATAAAACATTTTCACATGCTGGCTTTTAAGAAGCAGCTTTGCAATATATATGAGATGGCCATTCACTCACTGCTACAGAGGAAATCTAGATATGAAACAAATTACTTGCTGCAGCTTCAGACAAGTATCATAAACCCAGGCTTGGGATCTATGAATTGCAATGCTCGAAACAGCACTTACTTAACATGCTACCTAGATCCAGAGAGTTACTTAACTTCTGCCCAAGTAACTGTCATTGTTACAAGCCTATGTCACTCAGAACAGATGCTCTGGAGTCTTAATAGCCATATTTTAATTTCCGGGGGCTTTAGTGTTTATGGAGAGAAGCAAGATATCAAACCTAGAAAGGAGAGCAAAGATGAGATCATAAAGGACCTTGTGTCATTATGCACATGGTTTCATAAGCAATCCTTAAGAGTTTGAAATAGGGAAAATACATGAATAGATCTCTTTTAGGAAGACCAATCTGGCAATAATGTGGAAGACAGAATAGGAAGGAGAAGACGCTGACAGCAGGAATTCTAGGTATATGGCTATAAATATTCCAGGTAAGAGATGATAAGGGTCTTAGAGACAATAATGGGCATTCTCAAGGATATGAAGGGTAGAGGAGAAATCAATGGTGACATTAGCCAATGAGAAAAAGGGAGACAGAGGTCTTTGACGAGGAGAGGAGACATGAGACTTTACAGAGTTTGAAGTCTTGAGATATATAAAATTAGCAAGGGAGTGGTATAATAGTTTAGTGATGGCTTCAAGAAGTCACCAATAGTATCAACAGTTATAGGCGAGTAAATTAAGAATGGAATGATTCCAATGCATATGACAATATTAGGAGGCCACTGGTGACCTTAGTGTAGGAAGTTCTAGTAGAAACATGAGAAAAGAAATAGATGGATGAAGAAATGGGAGATTAAGAGAAGTCAGGGATAATAGACTGGTAGGTGGAACAAATTTAAGTAAGCTAGTTAAGTAAATAGCCAGAGAGAGAAGCAGCCAAAAAGTGAAAATTGACAGATATACAGAAGGTAGCATCCAAAGCACAAGTAGACCCCATTAGCCTTAGAGAGAATGAGAGAGCTATTCCTTTGAAGAAAAAGGAAGAATGATTTTGGAAGGTAGAACAGGTATGTACTGAATGGGAATGATGATCAGAATACCAAGCTCAATACTGGTAAGCTGGAAAATAAATCACTGGCTAAGAGTGAGGAGGGGCGGTATTAGATAGCTTTGAGAAGAACTGTGCCAGTCTGGAATAGTTTGAAGGGGGAATGGACGAGAAAGCAGACAGGCTGACACCTAAAACAGTTGCCAGTGACAGGTGGAAATCTCTTTAAGTGGTATGGCATAGCACCATTTTTAAAGTAAAGCTAGGCAACTCAGGTATAAAAGCAGAGATGATTGTTTGGACAGATCAAGGGGTGCGAGTGGCCAGTGGGTATGTAGAAGAATGTGGACATGCAGGTTATGAAGAGGACTGGCCAAGGCGGTTGATGTGGCGGACTGTGGGCTCCGGGCTATTTAGGCAAGGAAGGGAATCCAACAAAAAGATGAAAATTCAAGTGAGGAGTGAGGATCCAAGTAACAGAAGCTATCACAGGTAGAAGGGGAATTAATAGGTAAATGGAAGTGAGAGCATTCTGAGAGATGTTACTGGTCTTAGTCTCATAAGTCTAATAAGAAGGGGAAAATTCAAGGTACGGCTATGGGAGAGATTGGTTGAAGTGAAGGTAAATCTTAGGAGTGAAAGGGTTAGAACTTTGAGGGTTAGGGTGGTGGGTAAGATAACAACACAGGCATTTTGTCATTCATGATGATGAAAAATTTTAGGAAGAGAAGTAGTCTGAGAACTAGGTGCCCGCCATAAATCATCGTGGTCCTGAATAAACACCTGGTATTTTGCACAATGCCCTGCGTTATGTTATCTCTGAGATAGAGGTCTATGTTGCCCAGGCAGCTCTTGAACCCCTGGGTTCAAGTGATCCTTCTGCCTCAGCCTCCCAAGTAGTGGGGATTACAGGCTTATATCACTGTGTCTAGTTTCTTATTTCTTTTTAAAAAATAAATTTTACACATTTTTCTATTGTTTAATTGCTCTGCTTTTTACTTTTAGTTCTCTAATAAACTTGGAATTTCACATCTGTATGAGGAAGGAATCTCAATTGTTCGCCTGTATATATTTAACGGCCAATGAATCTCACATATTAATCCATCTTGTTCCCTCTCACTGATGTTACCTTTATCATGTACAAGGTCTCTTTCTAAGCTCTATTTTGTTCCATTTGTCTTTCTGTTTTAATTACTATGGCTTTGCAATATTTTACTCTCTGGCAGGGTGAATTTGTCCTCCGTTCTTCTATCTTAGCTATCTACTCATGGACTTTTATTCTTTCTCATGAATTTTATCAACAATTTTTCCCCTTTCCAAAAATATTCTAGACTTTTAAACTGGAATTATGTTGAATTTTTTATTCAATTAGGAAAAACTGAAATCTTTACACTATTGTATCTTCAATCCTATGAACGTGGTTCTTCTCTATTTATTTAGATTTTCCTACAGTTCCTTTGTAAGAGATTTCAAATCTCCGTTTCTTTTTTTTCTTTCTTCCTGGAGTTGGAGTCTCACTCTCTCGCCCAGGCTGGAGTACATTGGCACGCTCATGGCCACCGCAGCCTCAAACTGCTGGGCTCAGGTGATCCTTCTGCCTCAGCCTTCCAAGTAGCTGGGACTACAGGCGCATGTCACCATGCCTGGATAATTTTTTGATTTATTGTAGAGACGAGGTCTCACCAAGTTGCCCAGGCTGGTTTTGAACCCATAGGCTCAGGCAATCCTCTTAGCTCGGCCTCCCAAAGTGCTGGGATTATAGGCGTGAATCATTACACTGGCCTCAAATCTCCATTTCTAACATTTTTGGTTAGGTTACTTCTTTTGTACTCTATCGTTTTTGCGGTTATTATGATACTTTATTTCCTATTACAATTAATAACTGCTTATTGCTGGCATACAGAAACACAATTGTGATAAATTAATCACACCTGACAACCTTGTTGAATTTTTACTAGTTCTAATAATCTCTCTATTAATTCTCTGGGGCTTTCTGTGTAAAAATCATGGCATTTTCCATATTAGTTTTATTCCCTCTTTTCAAGTCTTTACACCCATCTTCTTACACTATTGTCTGGGACCACATATGTATGGGACCTTGCATACAGCGGACATTTAATCAGATGTCAGTGGGGAATACATGGATTATTTAATAATGTGTTAGAAATGTTGGCTTATTACACAGAAGGTGGAAATAAGTATCCTTGTTTTGTTCCCAATTTTAAAGAGAACCCATAATGTTTACTATAGTTAGCATTTAAGAGCTTTTATCATAAATGGATGCTGAACTTTACCAATGCTTTAACCTGATATTAACTTTGTAAGGAAAAAAAGCAAGTGTCAGACTGAAAGGACATGTGTCTATGTTAACAACAAAGGAACAATACCTTAACAGACAGAAAACCCAATAGAGAAGCAGGGAAAGAATATGAAAAAGCAATTCACAGAAGGGGAAATAACAATTTTCTATACAATGAGAGTATTTCGAACTTTATTATTAATCAGAAATGCAAAAGAATGATATGAGATACTACCACTTAACATCCATCACAGTAGTAAAACTTAAAATATCACATGGTATCAAGAATTAGTAGTGAGGTGAGTGAATTGGGAAAATAATCATGGAAGTGTAAACTTTCTTTTCTATGACTCAAAAAATTCTACTCTGGGGTATATCAGACATGACATAAAGTCTAACAGGGGGCCCCAACAAAACGAAATGCAATTTAAGCCTCCATGTACACTGTTTACCTTCAGGAAAGGCTGAACTGATCACAGCCTTCAGTGAGCTCTCTGTATAACCAATGCCTTTAAGGCATTCAGAAGTGAGAAGAAACATCCACGATGTGATGTGTTAAGTGCTGAAGCACAGGTATGACAAAGAATCAAAGAAAAAACCAAACTAGAATACCCAATTTAGCCACTATTGGTTAAAAATGTTTCCTGGGATAAAGTTACATTTGAGTTTAAGTTTGAAGGATAAGAACCAGATTTAGGGTGAGAGTTGGGTGGGGGGGGGGGGTTTGGGG